GAGCGGGGAGCCCGATGCGGGACTCGATCCCGGGACTCCAGGATCATGACCTGAGCCGAAGGCAGTCGCTTAACCGACTGAGCCACCCAGGCGCCCCTTAAACAAATTCTTAAACTGAAGACTGATTAGGGCTTCCAGGTGACCACAAACCACTTATAATTGCATACAGAGTTGTAGTTTATATATGTGTATTTTTCTGGAGAGAAACATTGTGATTTATTCAATTAATAAAGGTGGTATATGCAATAAAAATATTTAAAACCGTTGGTGTGCAAGCAAAGATTTTGATAGCTGGGAATGATCTTGTACAAAATTAGAGTTCAATATTGTATAAATAGTTAAGTACCTCAGTCCATATTTATGTGACGGAATATTATGCAACTAACAAAAATATGTTTATAAAGGATCAGTCACAAGAAGAAAAATGTGAAGTAGTTTTAAACTACGTGCACAGTTATGGACAGTAGTATTCAAGGAAATCTTAAATTATATATGAATCTCGTTTACTATCATATGGTTTTGTGAGATATTTTTCAAGGACGGTACATATTTTAATTAGTGGAGAAGAGGGATTTGGCCACATTTATGGATCATTCCTTGTGTACCCAAGAGTGTTCTCTCTACTTTGCATTCATACTCTCATTCAGTCTGCAGTGGCCACTTAACCTGAATTATGTCTTTCAGAGAAGAATAGATATAATTATGTTGATGAGATACAACTAAAAGATGTCCAAGTACTGCTTTTCCCTGATGATCCTATTTGATCTTGGTTTTATTAAAGTCTAGAATGTATCCACTGTGAATAACTGTTTAATTATAACTGTAAAATTATTGTAAAAGTCTTCATATTAAATTCTGAAGGCAGAATTAGGGCAGACTTGTCCTCCCCCCCCCCCCAAAATCAGTAATCCAAAGAATTTATGAAAAAAGTTAACATTTAAAAAAAAAAGTTACCCATAACTCTGCCTATTAGACTGTGAAATAATAAAAAATGTATTTATATTGGTTTCTACCCCTGGTGCCTGCTAATATTTGGTCTTTGACCAGGGTTCCTGACACGGAGCTCCTAAAATCCTTGTGATTTCCTGAGTAATAGGAGTGTTTGACACAGAGCTCCTAAATCTCTTAGAATTTCCTGGGTAATAGCAGTATCTTTTGTTCTAAAGAAGTGACTATTGGGTTCTTGAATGGGGCCTGGTCACTAGAAAGACCAAGCCATGTTTAGAAGCTTGAACCCTCAGGGGTGCCTGGGTGGCTCAGTTGGTTAAGCGACTGCCTTCGGCTCAGTTCATGATCCTAGCTTCCTGGGATCCAGCCCTGCATTAGGCTCCCTGCTCTGCAGGAAGCCTGCTTCTCCCTCTCACTCTGCTGCTCCCACTGCTTGTGCTCTCCTGCTCTCTCTCTGTCAAATAAATAAAGGAAGAAAAAAAGAAACTTGAACCTTCAGCTCTAGCTCCCATTCTCAGGGCAGGGATAGGGGGAAGGGACTGGAAAATGAATTAATAATTGACCAATCCTATATGATGAAACCTCCGTAAAAATCCCTAAAGTACAGGGTGTGGAGAACTTGCAGGTTGGTTAGCACATCCATGTGCCAGGAGCATGGCACACCCCATCTCCTCAGAGACAGAAGCTCCTACACTTGGAACCTTTCAGACCTCACCCTGTGTATTTCTTCATCTGGCTATTCATCTGTATACTTTATCATATCCCTTAATGTATAGTAAACCGATAAACTTAGTGTTTTCCCTGAGTTCTCTGAGCTGTTCTAGCAAATTTTTGAACCTGAGGAGGGAGGTGTGGGAACCCCAATTTATGGCCAGTTGGTTAGAAGTACAGGTGACAACCTGGGACTTGTGACTGGTTTCTGAAGTGGGGGCAGTCTTGGACTGAGCCCTTAACTTGTGGGATTTGATGCTAACTCCAGGTAGATAGTGTCAGAGCTCGGAGCTGAATTGAATTGTAGGGCATCCAGCTGGTGTCAGAGAATTGTTGATGTGTTTAAAAAAAATACATAGTTGGTGTCAGAAGCACTGTGAGTGTGAGAGTAGAGGAAACCAATGCATGTGTCCTAAACACAGACATAATATTAATATTTTGGTGTGCATTCTCCTCCCCCCTACCCCAGTTTTTTGTTAGCAGATATATAGGGTTTTATTGTATCTGCAGAATAGAATCACGCTAATTGATTATGCAAAGTAGGAAAGACTCTTCAACTCTTAGACTAAAACAGGGAAACTATAGGACTCAATGTTCTTTGTGTGCAGCAGGAAGAAGAGGAAAGCACCAGTGATCCTCTTGTTTGAAAAACCCTGGGGCGCCTGGGTGGCTCAGTTGGTTAAGCGACTGCCTTCGGCTCAGGTCATGATCCTGGAGTCCTGGGATCGAGTCCCGCATCGGGCTCCCTGC